CAACAATCTCAGCTCAGGCCTTGACGTGGTGGCTCAGATGACATGGCTTCAAGAGATGTGAGTCCTCTCCCCTCCCCTCTTCACCACCTCAGCTGGCCCTCATCCTGCTTCCTTTTCCTTCCCTCACCCTGCTTCCTTTTCCTTCCCTCACCCTGCTTCCTTTTCCTTCCCTCACCCTGCTTCCTTTTCCTTCCCTCATCCTGCTTCCTTTTCCTTCCCTCACCCTGCTTCCTTTTCCTTCCCTCATCCTGCTTCCTTTCCCTTCCCTCACCCTGCTTCCTTTTCCCTCCCTCACCCTGCTTCCTTTTCCTTCCCTCATCCTGCTTCCTTTTGCTTCCCTCACCCTGCTTCCTTTTTCTTCCCTCACCCTGCTTCCTTTCACCTTGCTTTCCATTGCTTCCCTTGGTCCACTTTGGTTGCCTGCAACATCTGAGCTAGGACCCTTTCTCTTCTGTACTGGCTAAGCAGACGGATCAATAACAACAACTTCTCTGGTGTGCTTCCCGTGTCCTTCACAGCAATCAGTTACCTCGATTATCTGTGAGTCGTCTCGATCAATCTTTCAACTCATGCAACAACCCCGTTCATGGAACTTAATCGGGTAGGTGGGATGCTGCAACAGTAAGCGTTGTGACTGCCCCTGTTCTAAGTTCACCTGAGTATTTGTGCGCCCGTGCTTCGGTTATCAATTCATGTAGCCTTGTATTCCAATTCAAGCTGGATGTGTGCTTGTTGTACAGTTTCATATCTTCGCTCACACAACTGTTTTCCTGCCTTCATATGCAATGCAAGTGCCAACGCACGTTTGCAGTGGCCTGTACATGAGTGAATGTGCTTTCCTAAGTATTTGTTTCATTATTTCCCAACCACGCTGTGGGCCTCATTAAGGGATGCTGGAAACAACCATTTCACAGGAACCTTCCCAGATTTTATTCTGCGCCAGACGGGCCTTCTATTCCTGTAAGACATCCACTTGACGCCTTGAACAAAAGCGGGTTGCACTAAAGGAGCAAGAACGCAAGCAAAGCAAAGCACCGAGCCGAACCGGCTCGCTCTCATTTGCTTCGTTTCCAGCGGAACTGCGCATAAGAGCCTTTTATTCCTGTAATGGATCCATGCGTGACCTCAAACAAAGGCGGGTTGCACTGATAAAGTAGCTGCTGCCATTTCTTGCAGTAGTTCCTCCTACCTGAACAACTCAAATGGCAATCGCAATCAAAATGGTCATGGCAGATTCTTGGCCAACAACAGGTTCACAGGGACTATCCCCCGCGAATTGACCAAGCTTGTCGGCCTTCTCTACCTGTAAGTTGCACTACTGCGAACTGTAGTGGGGTTGAGGATCTGTTCAGCCTTGTGCTTGAATTTTTGAGGCCACTTTGATCGAGGCTCTTGATTGTTACCATTGTGCAGAATCCTCAATGACAACAATTTCCATGGATCTTTCCCATCCGGGCTGCTTCGGCTACCCGATTTGAACCTGCTGTAAGCAGCTCCAGTACACATGTTTCAGAAGAATCTCTTCTCCCGCCTTGTCTTTCTCTCAACTAAAGGGTAATATTACTATCCCTGATATGTCAAATGGTATTTTGCTCCACTGCAAAACACCAAAATCAGGAGTTCGCATGTTACCTGCTTTGTTTGTTTCTCATTGCATCTCTCAAGTTTCCAACTCAGACATGTGCATTGAGTCGAGTTAGGGATGAGCAAATGGCGAACTCGAACACGTTTGGGTTCGAGTTCGCTCGAACATCACCTTTTCCCGAACCGAACATAGTTCGGTTCGGCGAACACTTTGAGCAAAAAATGGTGTTCGCCGTTCGCCTGTGAAGGCGTGTTCGGGCGAACCTCGAACAGTGTTCGTGTTCGTCACGGGCAAATTGCAGCGGCGGCCCGAACACGAACGTGTTCGGGCGAACATCGAACACTGTTCGGCGAACATATTAAGCCAAAAAAAAATACCTGTTCGGTTCGCCTCGAACACGTTCGAGGCGAACCGAACAGGTGTTCGCCACCTTGCTCATCCCTAAGTCGAGTTTCGAAACTAAACTCGTTTGGGGGACTCGTCACGGGTCGAGTGTCGAGTGCGAGAATCCTCTGGAAAAAAACTTGACCGAGCCAGGTTGAGTTTTGCTCGTCGAGTTTTTGAAAAACAACCGCATGTCTGTACCAACTTTCCACCCCACGCTCATTGTCAGCCTCGTAGAGGCCACGATTCATTCATGTGCTTAGGGAGTATCCTTGGTTTTGTAACTGCTGCATCCAGCCTCCTCTTTAATTTCCTAACGCAGGAGTGTATTTAACAACTCTCTTTCTGGGGAACTCCCACGGACTCTCAGGGTCACAACTTCTCTTGGCATACTGTAAGAAGTTGAAGCACTGTGTGCTGCCACCACTGTGTGTGTTGCCACCATTGTGTGTTCCTGGTGCAACGCTGTACCTTCATGGTTAACTCTTATGGAATCTTCGTCTTCTTTTGAATTGTGTGCAGTGACCTGGGTGGAAATGACTTCACGGGCTCCTTACCAGACTTCTCACGCTGGAATATCAGCTGTGAAGAGATGTAATATACGTTTTCTCACACTCTCTTCCTCCTTTTCTCACTCTAAACAACGCTTGCTCAATCTTGGCCTCAGCATCAGGGTGCAAAATTGCGCCTCTTTTTAATTTTTGGGCGTAAAAATCACGGACAATATTTTCACCCAAACTTTCGAGAGTTTTGGTCTGAAAAAAAAAGAAATTGTATCTTGGTGAAAACTTTGACTGTTCAAAAAAAAAAAGAAAAAAGAGGGATAGAGATTGTCAAAATCCGATGGGTGGAAATCTAACTTGCATTGTGCGTCCAGATCTGTGCAGATCGGCACTTTCACCCGCTCTGCGCAGAGCCTGGGCAAAAATAGGTACCTGTACCGACCCGGGGGCGGGTCAGGCGTGACCCGGTCCTCTAAGGCCCGGTCAGGTCAGGATTTAGGAAACTCCGACCCAGGAAGACTGGACCTGACCCGAACTGGTACCCGTCTAACCCAAGCCCAAATCGGGTCAGGTCGGGTCGGTTGGGTCACCCATAGTAAGCTGTAGCGTTCACCCCACTCACGACAGGCTATCTCGCTGCTGCCTCGCCTGTGTTGTTTGTGGCGCAGAAATCTCAGCAGCAACAACTTCACAGGGTCGATTCCCGACTCCATCTCCACCCTCACCACCCTCAAGGGCATGTGAGCCTCCTCTTCTCTTCTTGTGCCACAACGAGCCAAAACACATGCCTTGGCATAGCAATGTGAGCCTTCTGATGCCTTCCATGAGCACATATCCATGGAGCTTTTCCCATCTGAACAAGGTGGGATGCCGTGTACAGAAGTCACCGTCGAACCTTTGTAGTGGCACGCAGCCAATGGCATGAGAAAGGTAGCAGTGGCAGCCTATGCGCACACGCAGCTACACATGCTTAATTCGCACTTCCATTCAATGTACCCCGTTGCTATTCCCTGCTGCTCTGCAGTTTTCTCAACAACAACCAGTTGACTGGCACCATCCCTTCAGCCATCTTCACCATGAGGAATCTGACATACATGTAAGCCTCATGTGTTTAGGGATCCCCTTTATAAGTGCCCATCACACGTTCCTACCTCTGCCCAATGGTACTTTCCTTTCTTGCACCAGCCTGCACTCCTCTTGCATACGCTGCTTCTCATCGGAATGTCTCCCGGCCATTGCTGTTGCTCTTCAGATACTTGGCCAACAACCATCTGACTGGCACTCTGCCAGCTGCCATCAGCCAACTGCAGAATCTTGAACAGATGTAAGCGTGCCATGTGCCTACTACATTCCCCCTCTACTATTTTAAAGAACAGTGGCAGTTTAGGAAGCAACACACACAGCACATGCATAAGCTTGCAGTACATCGTTACCATAACAGACCTAGCTAACTTTTACACCATGAAATGAACACAAGAGACCAAAACACGCAAGCATCACCTGTGCCATCCCCACTCCACCCCCTGCTCTTTATGGAATTGTTTCCGTCTTTGTTCCTGCCAATTCTCTGTATGTCTCCCTAGCTGGTTGGACAACAACAACATTGAAGGCCCTCTGCCACCTGGCATGTGCTCGCTGCCCTGGCTGTGGCGCATGTGAGTGACAGTCATACACTTGATAGATTTTATTTTATTTTTGGTTTTTTTTTTTTTTTTTGTTTTTTTTTTTTTTTTTGTTTTTTTTTTTTTTTTAGGAATTCTTTCTTACGGACCTTAAAAAAAAGGGGGGGGGGGGGGGGGGAAATATTTCCTGTTTCCATGATTTTGGAGATTGTTAAAAAGTATGAAGAGTTTCAGTTTTGTGTTGTGTGCTTGCCTTTCTGTGTGGGTGTGCGACTCATGGCGCGGCATGGTGTGTGCCGTGCTGCTTGCAGCATGATCAGCAACAACTCCCTCTATGGACCCCTTCCAGACTGCCTCTTTGACAACTGTATCACACAGATGTGAGCCTACCATGCATACTCCATTCTCAGTACCATCCATGGCAGCTCGCACCCTCAACATGGGCATTGCACAGACATCATTATCTGGTGGGACGGCCTCCGATCAGACACTCAATATCATCTCCTGCCCTCCGTGATCCCCCTGTGCTTTCCGCAGTGATGTGAGCGGCAACAGTCTGTATGGGCGCATCAACCGCGACTTTAAGAACATGCTGACGACCAACGGTGCCCCCATTCGCACCTTGGCGGATCACAATGCCCTCGTCAACTTGGCTCACAACTTCTTCTTTGGAGATGGGGTGATCTTTGCTGCCGGCTGCAAGGTCTGCCCCACGGAGGTTAGCGAGCCCAACAACTTGGGCTTTGAGATCAACAACCCCAACAACCTGGGCACAAGGGACACCTTTCCATGGCGAGAGCTTGGTGGCAAGTGCGGCATTTTTGCTCTAGGTAATCTCGTGGATGAGCGGGGCAAGACGGCGAGGGTGAGTCTGTCGGGCAACTGCCTAACCCTGACCCCTAACGAGAAGTGCTCTTCCAACGCCACCCAGCGCAGCACGGCAGCCTGCCAGGCGTTCTGCAGCATCACGGATAACGGCCCGTGTGACGGCCACGGGGCGTGTGTGCCGGCTGCCCCCGCCTCCCCCTCCAACTTCACGTGCCTCTGCGATGCGGGGTACACCACAGTCGACTCGAGCAACGGCTCCTCCACATGTGCCATCGTCCACTCCACCACCAACACCACCACTGGTAACCCTTGCTTCATGCTTACAGCTCCACATTTCATTCCTATGTTCTGCACCAGTAACCACGTTTCATGAGGCTTCTGCTATACACATGTTTATCACCGCCCCATGTCCATTCCTTGGCAGTGTCGTCTCTGTCGACGGGTGCAATAGTGGGCATTGTTCTGGGCAGCTTTGCTGGCTTCTCCCTGTTGGCTTCTGTGGTCGCATGGCTGTTGTGGCCCCGCGGACAGAGTGAGCCCCTCAAACCCTTCACTTCCATTCCATCTCCACCATTACTACACCACTTCCCTGGCTTCCTTCCCGACTCCCCACCTCTCCCAATTTTCTCTCTCCACTGCCCTCATGCTCGCCTCTCCACTGCCCTCATGCTCGCCTCTCCACTGCCCTCATGCTCGCCTCTCCACTGCCCTCATGCTCGCCTCTCCACTGCCCTCATGCTCCCCTCTCCACTGCCCTCATGCTCCCCTCTCCACTGCCCTCATGCTCCCCTCTCCACTGCCCTCATGCTCCCCTCTCCACTGCCCTCATGCTCCCTTCTCCACTGCCCTCATGCTCGCCTTCCTCTGCCCTCATGCTCCCCTCTCCACTGCCCTCATGCTCCCCTCTCCACTGCCCTCATGCTCCCCTCTCCACTGCCCTCATGCTCCCTTCTCCACTGCCCTCATGCTCGCCTTCCTCTGCCCTCATGCTCGCCTCTCCTCTGCCCTCATGCTCGCCTCTCCTCTGCCCTCATGCTCGCCTCTCCACTGCCCTCATGCTCGCCTCTGCTCTGCCCTCATGCTCGCCTCTGCTCTGCCCTCATGCTCTGTCCACGCATCTACACCCTTCGTCTCTCACACCTCTGGTCTGATTTTTTTCTGTGCGCAGAGAAGTGGGAGGGGTTGGACGTGTGTGAGCAGTTCTCGCTGCAGCAGATGCTGACTGCCACCAACAACTGGTCGGAGGACAATGTGCTGGGCAAGGGAGGCTTCGGCATTGTCTACAAAGGCCGCTCGCCACAGGGGCAGCTGTGGGCCATCAAGCGCTCCACCATCATGACCAACGACTTTGAAACGGAGGTGAGGCATGCCACTAATTCCCTTTGCACGAGAAAATACAAGACTTCACGAGACGACATGGCACTCTCTGCTTCCCAAAATGCTGATCTTGTTCGATGTGTGTCCATGCTGCAGGTGCGAGCCATGGCCTCTCTCCACAACAAGAAACGACATGGCACTCTCTGTTTCCCAAACTGCTGATCCGCAAATGCATGTCTCACTTTTTCAAGCCCATGTGCACATGCCTTCATTGTGCTCTCACTGCAGGTGCGAGCCATGGCCTCTCTCCACCACGTGCATCTCGTGCGCCTGCTGGGCTTCTGCCTGGACCAGAACGTGGAGACGGGCAAGCAGGAGCAGATCCTCGTGTACGAGTTCATGGCCAACAGGGACCTCGAGTACCATATCCACAGGACCAAGAGTGAGTTTGCACTGGCACGACTGCTAAATGGTTTCCGTGATTTTTTTTTTGTTGTGACTCCATCATCATAAAAATTCGATTTTTGTTATGTATATGTGTTTCATGAACCAGATCCGCTCTCGCTGCGCCAGAGGCTGCGCTTGGCACAGGGAGCAGCAGAGGGCTTGGCGTACCTGCATGGGTTTGACACACCCATCGTTCACCGCGACATCAAGCCCGCCAACATCCTCGTATCGGCTGACATGCAAGCCAAGGTGGCTGACTTTGGGCTGCTCAAGCGCCTCACTCACGGCGATGCTGATGCCACACGTGTGGCTGGCACTCCGGGCTACGTGGACCCGGATTACAACCGCACCAGCGTCATCACAACCAAGAGTGATGTGTTCAGGTGAGCATGAAAGCTTTTTCCTTTGCACAACACGTTGTACCCTGTGTATCTCAGTTTTTCATCTTCCAAGTTATGTTCAATACTTGTACCCTGTGCCTCTCTCCATCTTCTGCCATGTTCATTCCTCTTTCCTTGATGCTTGATTGCTTACAGCTTTGGAATCGTGCTTCTTGAGTTGCTGAGTGGAAAGCCGCCTCGAGTCAACACGGAAACGCATACAACGCATATCAGCATATGGGTATGCTCGTCAAATTTGAATTGGCAAGAAAAACGAGTACACAAAAAAAAAAAAAAAAAAAAAAAAAAAAAAAAAAAAAAAAACTCAAATCCGCATCTGACCTCATTATTCTATGGCCGCTCATTATCCCTGGTTCCCTTGCATGTTAGTTTTCACTGCCTTTCCTTACCGTAATGCCTCCTTCCAGCGCCTTTCCTGCTTAACATGCAGCTTAGCACCGCCTCTCTCATCATCACCCTTCCTTGCGGGCATGCCCTCCAGGCTATGAAGCTGTTGCAGGCATATGAGCTAGAAGAGCTGAGGGACAGAAAAATGCCGGCAGCAAGCGAGGAGGCCATAGTGGACTTTGCAGACCTGGCTCTGGACTGCATCAAGTCTCCCGGCACACGGCGACCCACCATGAAGGATGTGGCATACCGCCTCAGTGCCCTCATTTCCAAGCACTGCCCTGACGAGGAGGACGAGTGGGAGAATGTTGTGACAGAAGAAGGGGCAAGCAACCAAGGGATGCCTTCTGAGTTGTGTGGAGATGGAGGGAGGGAGCCTGAGAGGTCTCATGGCTCACAGTCTGGTGTGGTCTCATTCACGGGTACCTTCTCGATGAGTGATAGCATCAAGAGCTGGCTGCAATTGAAGCCAGCCAGCACGCATTGAATTTGCCCATTTGCCCAGCACGCAACTCGAGATTCAGTGTGTGTAGCAGTACTGCCAGACAGTAGGGTGTTACATACAGGGCAATACGGTGTAACAGCACTTTAGACTTTGTTTGTGTTGAGACTCGGGTGCAGTGCAATAACCTGGAACTAATATAAAAATGGGAGATGCGAGAAGCACACAGGGAAGGGAACCTACAACCTCATCTGACAAATGCAAATGCGTAAAAGATGCTCGCAAACTGCTTGAAAATTATTACTCAAAATAGCACCATGCATGAGCTGAAAGAGCAAGCAAAACAGACTGGCAGCATGTGTTGATTGCCTGATACTGGAGTGTTAGAGGATGGATTATGGAATACCGGTTCTCTATTGGCTTCATTGAGAGAGCCATTGGCTTGGATTGGATTTTGAGGCGCCTCAAAATGCACCTCACTGCACGCGGATGTTGAGGCGCCTCAAAATGCACCTCACTGCACGCGGATTTTGAGGCGCCTCAAAATGCACCTCACTGTTGGCTTCATTGAGGGAGCCATTGGCTTGGCTTGGCACTTCCATTTACATTACAACAATGCGAGGACTCGCTTGCTCGCTGGCTACCAGTCATGCCAGTGGATGGACGGAAACACTCTGGCTTACTGCGTGACAGAAGCAAGCACCCGCACCCACACACTCGCTTCCTGCGAGTTAGACAGGAATGTCAGCAACTTGCCAAACTGCGCAGTTGTCTAGAGCAGCCGAGGATGGTTGTAAGGCAACGGTTCGTCATCACTGTCGTATCACCGTTGTCGTCATCCTTATCAGCTGTCACTGCATGCCATCTTGTGACCACGCTCAGTTGTCTAGGATCAAAATCTCCGCGTCTTGCCCTCTGCAGACACACACACAGCAGCAGCAGCAGCAGCAGCAGGAGCAGTGCAAGGGACAGGCAAACAAGTGAGCAGGGAAGAAGGGATGAGATCACATCAGCAGCAGAGCACACAGCTGCTGCCACACAGGCTTGAGTGGCTTGCCAGTAGACACGCTCACAACCACCCCTGCCCTCTACCCACGTGACTCACAAAGCATAATGATTTCTGAGTCGACTAAGAATCAACTTGCCACTAGACAAGTTCACAACCACCCTTGGCCATTACCCATGGGATTCACAGAGCGTGCCCGCGTATGAGAAGGTCCCCCTCTTTGCGCCAAGGCACCCCCTCCCCCTTCCCCACTGTTATCGCCCTCTGTCTCGTGCCCCCTGCCCACTATCCACTGCCCCCTGCCCCTTGTCCCCTGCCCCCTGCCCGTTGCCCCCTTCCCCCTTCCCCCTGCCCCTTGCCCCCTGCCCTTTTCCCCCTGCCCCTTGCCCCCTGCCCTTTGCCCCCTTCCCCCTTCCCCCTGCCCCCTGCCCCCTGCCCCCTGCCCCTGCCCCGTGCCCGCTGCCCCGTGCCCCCTGCCCCCTGCCCCCTGCCCATTGCCACCTGCCCCCTGCCCCCTGCCCCCTGCCCTTTGCCCATAGTACTCACAGAGCATGCGTGCGTATGAGCAGGTCCCCCTCTCTGCGCCGGGCCACCCCTTCCCGTTGTTCCGAGCGCCGGCTCGGCTGTGTGCTGCCTCGCCGCAACACCCGCCCGCTGCCTGCTTCCCCTCCGCTTCTCCCCTCCCGCCCGCTGCTCCCCTCGCTTCTCCTGCCGCCCCCACTCACTGCTGGAATCACTACCTGCTGCCGGGCCCTCATCCCCCTCTCCTGCCTTGTGTCAGTCCGTGAGCGTCGCATGGGAGGCGGTGCGGGCACTGTTCCAACGCTTTGTTTCGCAAATACAGCCATTTGTTCCATCTCCTCCCTCTGCTCCTTGTGCTCTCGCGCACACCTCTCCTGCCTCGTGTCAGTACGGGACCGTCGCATGGGTGGAGACGCTGCAGCTTCCAATCCAACATCTTGTTTCACAAACACACCCATCTGCTCCCTCTGCGCCTGCTGCTCACGTGCCTGCCTTTCCTGCCGTGTGTCTGTGCGGGATCGTCGCATGGGAGGAGGTACAGCTGCTGGTGATGTGACTGCATGCTCTCTCCCGCCCTACATCACCCCCACACTAGTCCCAGTGCTCACCACCCCTCTATCAAGCTCCAAACACATCTCCACCCCATCCAATCCCATCCCCACTCCCATCCCAACCGCTTTCTCCCAGAGCTCCTCCAGCCTCCTCGACTCCCCCCGTCCAGGCATTTTCACCATCCAAGCACCCCCCTCCTCCCACTCGCCCTCCCTCACTCTCACCTCCCTCACTCCCCTCTCCCCAGCCACTGCCAACAACTCTTCCTCTTCCTCCTCCTCCCTCCTCCTCCTCTCTTTCTCCACCTGCTGTTCTAGCTCCCTCAGCCTCGCCTCCTCCTCCGAGGCTGCCACGTCAGCCTGGTGCCTGTAGCTGCTGAAGGGCGGGTGGTATACCACCGCGCTCGCTTTGAGGCCCATTGCTCCCTTTCCTCCTGCTGTCGCTGCCGCCTCAGTTGCTCTCATTTCTCTTGCTATCCCAGTTGCAGCAGCAGCACTATTATTGGGAGCAGTGACAGCGCCAGCACCATTGGTAGCCGCTGCTGCAGCAGCAGCACTAGCACCACCGCCGTTTGCAGCAACCGCAGCGGCGGCGGCAGCAGCAGCCGCAGCAGCAGGGCTGCGGGTGCTGAATCGCTTCCCACCGGCCAGCAAGATGGGCTGCGGGTGCAGCAGCGCCAGGGCAGCGGAGTTGGCGCGGCTCAGAGGCCTAGGCTTGGCCAAGGCTGATGGTGAAGCTGAGGCAGAGAAAGAGAGTGAGAGCAAGGGGCGACGGGTGAGGAATGGGGGCGACGGGAGAGGGACGAGGGACGCTGGTGGTGGTGGTGGTGACAAAGGGAGCGGGGGAGAGGGGCGAGAAGTTGAGGATGAAGGCGAGGTGCAGCAGTGGGTACTGCTGTTGCTGTTGTTGTTGCTGCTGCTTCCGCTGCTGCTGCTGTTGCTGCTGCTCCCAACCGTGGCTAGGCTAGTCTTTGTGTTGCCGCCAGGGTGGAAGGTCATGCTATGGGCAATGCGCTTGGGCTGGGCAGCAGCACTGCCACTTTGGCTGCTCGGCATATTGCTGCTGCCACTGCCACTGCCGCAGCTGGTGGCATTGCTAGCGCTGGTGCCACTGGTGCCTCCTCCCCCGCTGCCGCTGCCAGTGCTGCTGCTCTTCTGGTATACCACCACTGGGCGCCTGCGCTCCTCATGCGCTCCCCTGCCCTCCTTGCCTGCTCCTGCAGTCAAGTAAACCTGCCTCTCACTCTGCCTCTGAGCCGCATGCAACACACAAGGGGCAGCAGAGGCCAGTGCGGCAGCAGCAGATTGCTGCCTTCTCAACCTGAGGGAGGGCGGGCGGCAGGCGGGGAGATGGCGGGAGGCGGGGAGACGGCGGGAGGCAGGACGAATTGCATGCTGCAACGCGCGAGGACGGGTGATAGGAGAGGCTGCCGGGGATACCGAGGGCAAAGTGCAGTTCTCCGTGCGCGCGTCGTTGTCAGGACTCTGGGGGGTGGGGGGTTCCACTGGTCGCGACTGCCTCCTGTTCACCCTGCTAGTCACCCCTCTGCCCACTGCGCTGCCTGTGCTCTTCCGCCTGCCGCCCTTCCCGCCGCTGCTGGTTACCTTATCAAGCCCGCCAAATTGCCACCACGCCGCCGCCACGGGCTGGCTCTTTCCAGGTGCTGCTGACGTCACCACAGCGTCATCGCCCTTGGCCTCGCGACGGCCTTCCGTCGCCCATCCCTCTGCCCCTCCGCGACGACCTTCCCCCGCGGCTTCCAGGCACGGGTGCTACCTCGTACTCGCTCTCGGGCACAGCTTGGGCTGCGTCTGTTGCTGCTGCAGCTGCTGCGGCGACGGCTGTTGCTGTCATCTCGTACTTGGTAGGGTCTAACGCGCGCACGCGGTTGCTCCCCTGCAAGCCCTCGCAGCGCAGCAGCACGGGTCGCTCACCCTCTCTGATGCTGCTGTCGCTGCCTCTGCCGATGCTGCCATTACTGCCGACGCCTCTCCTGCCCGCCTGCGGGCTGAAAGCATGCGCTGCAGCACGACCAACTCCCTTAGCCTCGGTAAATAGCCGATGTCACCTGGAAGGCTTTCCAGCTGGATACACCCTTTAAGGTAAAGCCCTTCCAAGCGGACGAGAGCGGAGAGGGAGGGGGGGAGGGAGGTGAGGGAGATGCATTCCTGGAGGTTGAGGGAGCGGAGGTGGGAGAGGGAGGAGAGGCGTGGGGGGAGGGAGGAGAGGGAGGAGCAGAAGGCGAGGTGGAGGCGGGTGAGGGAGGAGAGAGAGGAGAGGGAGGAGGGGAGGGCGGAGAGGGAGAGGCAGGAGTCGAGCTGCAGGTCTCTCAGGTTGGTGAGGTGGAGGAAGAAAGTACCGTTGGGGGCAGTGGGAGAAGGGGTTTTCAAGGAGGAGGAGGAGCAGGAGGAGGAGGAGGAGGAGGGGAAACCACAGCAGCAAGAGGAATCAGTACCAGCAACAACCGCACCACAGGGGAGGTCAGGCAGGGAGGCGAGCTTGATGGAACCGGTAAGGCAGAGGCGGGTGAGGAGGGAGAGGGAGGCGAGGGAGGGCGGCAGGGCGGAGTGGGAGTCAAAGCCGCTCACCTCCAGCTCCCTCAGCTGCGCCAGCCATGCCGGGTGGGAGGGTGAGGGGCGGCGAGGGGAGGAAGGAGGAGAAGGGCTCGTGGGTAGAAGAGGGACTGGATGGACTGGATGGCACAAGGGAAGGTAGGGAATCGTGTGAGGGAGGTGTGTGTGAGTGGGGATTCGGGTGCACGTGGTTGTGCTGCTGAGGGTGTGCCTGTGCTACAATGATCCCGTTACTGCTTCCATTGCAGCTGATGCTTGTGCTCGTGCTGTTGCAGTTACCACTATGGTTACTGCTGTTGCCGCCGACGCTGCTGCTGCTATCTTCCAAAGTGCCAGCTGCGGTATCATTGTGGGCCAGTGACAGACCGGTTGGGATGCTCTGTGGCTTACCTGCAGCCATGCTCTCACTACTGCCACCACCTCTGCGACCAGCGGCAATAATGGTAGCACTAGCACCAAAGTTATCGGTAGCAGCAGCACTAGTGCCAACAGTCACTGCGCCACCAGAGCCATTGGAGCTGCTGCCACTGCTTGTTGTGGTTGCAACCATGCTCGCACAATCTGTAGTGTTGCCACTACTTGGAGTGCCACAACCGCCTGCAGCACCTTCATCGGTTGTAACACACCCGTGTCCACTTCTGCTGTCGCTGCTGCTGCTACCATCCATGCCACCATCTATGTCCACCCCTATCCCCTTCCCCACATCCACCCCCGCTCCCACGCCGCTCCCACTACACCCATTACTTACTACAATCAGCCTCTCCAGCCGCCCCAAGCACGCCAGAGATGGCGGCAGCAGCACCGTTCTGCACCCATCCAGCCTCAGCTCCCGCAACCCCTGCATCTGAGCCACGTTCCCCGGCGCCCACTGTAGCGCGGTACACCTGGTTACCACCAGCCGCTCCAGCTCAGCCAGGGCCGTCAGAGATGCGGGGAGGGCGCGCAGGGACGTGCAGCCAATGAGAATAAGGGCGCGGAGGCGGGGCGAGGAGGACAGGGGGAGGGCGGAGGTGCAAGGGGGGAGAGAGGGAGAGGAGGGATGAGGAGGTTTGGTCATGAGGGTGAGACGGTTGAGTCCGTCAATGAGAGTGGTTGAGAGGGGTGCTGAGCCTGATTGTCCTGCTGCATCCAACCCCCCAACCTTCTGACCCTGCTGCTCTTGCATCTGCTGTCCCTGCTGACCCTGCTGTCCCTGCTCAAACCCTTCTGCTCCTGCCGCTGCATTTCCTCCTACTGCTCACCTACCCTTCCTTCCCCATTTATTTCTGATCCTGCGTACACGAATTGTCCTCCCCCATCCAGCCCTCCCTCCCTTCTAGTCGCAACCGCGCCCTCCCCTTCCGGCAGCCGCAGCGCCACCAGCTCGCAGCACTCCTCCACCACCAGCCGCTCCAGCCGCGTCATCGCGCGCATCGCTACAGGCAGTCCCGTTAACCCCTTACAGTGCCGCAGCTGCAGCTCTTTCAAACGGGTCAGCGCGCCTACAGATTCGGGCAGGCTCGGCGAGCAGGACAGCCCCAGAACAAGTTTTTCCAGCTGCCCGAGGCTCGTTACTGGATCGGGCAGGCCCAAAAGATTGTCGATGTCTTCTAATTGGAGCTCCCCCAGACAGGTCAGCTAGTCTAGGGTTTCGGGCAGAGAGGCGAGATTAGGGAGCGAGGCGAGGCGCAGGGTTTTAAGAACGGATAGATGGCCTAGGTCGTCGGGTAGGGACTCTAGACGCGTGCAGTCGGAAACTTCCAGGAACTGGAGCTCGGCTAGGTCGGGCAGGGATGGCGGGAGGCCTACGAGGCGATGGCACTTGCTGATTTCCAATTCGCGCAAGAGTGGTAACTGCCCGATGTCTTCGGGCAGCAGCGTAAGGTTACCGCATCGGCTTATAACGAGTCGCTCGAGGGAGTGGAGCTGCGGCAGCGAGCCGGGCAATTCGAGCAAACCTCCGCAGCCTTCCAACTCGAGCACGCGTAAGCACGGCAGCTGCCCGAGATCGTCGAGCAGCGACGTGAGCCAGTAGCAGGAGCTTATAACGAGGACGTCGAGCGGCTGCAGGTCGCATAGCGAATCAGGCAGCTGCTCGAGATTGTCGGATTTCTCGATGCGCAGATGCGTGAGACCCGCGAGGTCGCCCAGGGAGTCCGGCAGGCACGGCAGCGCGTTGCACGACAGCAGCCGCAAATCGCGGAGCGTACTTAATCTCCCCCGGGAGACTTCCGGGAAGAGCTTTAAACTCGGCGCTTCGAGCTGCAGCCGGCGCAGCGCGGGGAGATCGAGGAGCGACGCGGGAAGTGATTTAATATTCGGAGCGCAGTGCACGCTCACGTGCTCGAGCCGCCGGCATCCGCGAAACACGCTCGCGAGGCCCGCCTCGCTCACCGCGTCGACGAGCGGCGGCCGAACCGGCAGCCGAACCTTGCCGAGGAAGAGGTACGTC